CCGCGGCCGGGGGGGGCCCAGCCTCGGCCGTGGCCGAACCAGGCCGCGGCCGACGTGCAACATAGACGCAAAGAAGAAGGCGCGCATGCATGATTGGGAAGCACAAGGACCCCCTAACACAATGTCACCACGTGTTCCACCACAAAAGCAAAAAAAAAGCAAAATTTTCAACATTCAACAACATCACACACCATCCACACTCACAAGTTTCGAAAAGAATCGAAAGAACAAAGCACAACATGAAAGAGCGTCCAAAGAACCAACTGACTGTCCTGTGCAAGAGAAGTACGTTAATCGGATGTCTTAAACCACTAGTACCTTTGCCACTTGGGAAAATAGCGGGCCTCGGGTAGGCGTACGACCTTTTCAAAGGCTAAAACGAAACGACGGCCGCCGATCAGATTTATCAATGGCAGCCATCGTCAGGCCCGGCCTCCGAAAATTCAGGAGTTTGGAAAAACAGCCAGTTTTCCCTATTTTCGCACGCGGAAAAGGTACTAGTGGTTTGAAAGGACACAATTGTCCACACAGGGGTCGGATGCCATATGCGGAATTCAAAATGCAAAGATCTCCAAACGCACCAAAGAAAGGTAACCAACCAACGACACATGGCTGCAACGATCATCTACCAAAAAATGACAGCCCCTGACACGCATGTCACCGTGTGGGTCTTGGCGTCCCACAACGCCCACACAAGACTGCATGTCCGCGACGAAGAAGCAACACACTACCTACACGCTGGTGTGAAAAACAACACAGGCGTCAACGTGTGATCGAGAACCTCTCTCTCTCTCTCTCTCTCTCTCTCCCTCTCTCTCTCTCTCTCTCTCTCTCTCTCTCTCTCTCTCTATCTATCTATCTATCTATCTATCTATCTATCTATCTATCTATCTATCTATCTCTCTAGTGTCGTCAGAAGTTACCCATCCACTCGTCCAGTGCATCCCTCAGAATCAGCGCATCTCCCGTCGAGCTCACAATGCACACCGGCCTCAAGGGATGCTGGATTTCAAAATCCACATGACGGCGCACTCCGCTCACATCCACCTCCCACAACAGATTGTCATCAAACGGGGTATCGGCGTCGATGAGCAGGTTGTGAAGAATGCACACAGTCACAAACTGTTGCGGCAACTTCTCCATATTGGCATATCCGTCTTGTGCGACCGCAGGAACAACCTCCACATCCTCTTCAGTCTGTCGAAAGCCATTTCAAATGGCCCCCTCGCGGTCTTCTGCTTGTTGTCAAACCGCGTCTCCGATGGGTGATGAGTAGTCCATCCGTAGGGAACAACTATCCATTCGGACGGTGGGTAACCATTGTCGTCCAAGAGGTAGTCATTCGTCTGAACGCCAAATGGCAGCATCACAGGCGGTCCTGTGAAAAATTCCCCAGCCTCTGCACACAGCCATAGACTCGGCCAGTGCATGATCGTGACGTCGTGGAAGCTTCCACGATAGTCGACGAAGACGTCCAGCACACAAAAGTTCAGATCGACGACAACCTGCGCGATGATCAACAAACGTCGTTTTCGATCGTAGTAGTCCTCGCCGGGGGCGTTTGCCGGCTTATCGATGTAGACATGCGTGCAGTCGATGCAGCCATGGCAGTTGGGGAACCCTTGCCAGCAAAAGCAGACTTGCACACCCCTGTCGGCTATGATATCTTTTCACGGTAGATCGTCAACAACGCCGCAATGACATCCCGCGCCGCTACAAAACCTGATGCTCGACCAGTGCCGAAGTTACACGTGCTGCTCTCATACGTCTCCCCTGACGCCCACCGATACAACGCGTACGCGACGATCTGATCAGGCTGCAGCGGCTCCCTCTAGAATGTCACACACCACTACAAGAACGACGAAAGAGCTTCCACAATTTCCTGGAAGACACATGGCGACATGGGCAGCTTGTCCCAAAAATAGTCTTTCGTGGCGTCATCGCATTGCCGCAGATCCTCCTACACCCCGCCCGTCCATCTTTTCATCCGCCACTTGGGCGTTGCTCTGGGAAGAGCTCCACAACCCAAGGTGCAGCACACGTGAATGACGACATCGCAGATGGTCGTGGCGTCTAACCCTTCCATCGCCACGCACTGCGTGGCCTTCCTCCTCTGCTCGCGGATCTGCGCTTTCATTCTCCCCGCCGTCCTTTCCATCTTACAACGAAAGAGGATCGTGGTAACATCTTCTGCCAGCCATCCTCTCCGTCGTCGTCAGCTTCCCATCGACGTCAATGCCGCCGCACTCCATCGCTCCCAAACGAGCTGAAGACATCACCGTCAAGGATGGCGACAGACTCCGCCGAACTTAGAGAGGACCACCAAACCAGACGACTGGAGATGGACGCCAATCGCGCAATGAAGGACGCTGGAGCAGCCTGCACGACGCTGTCCGCCACTCACCGCACACAAGGGGCCAGTCGACTGCCGCTATGGCGTCTTCTCCCCCGACGTCTTCCTTGCCTGGCCGCACGCAATACTCATGCCGACCCCGCCGACTCGCAGTCGAAGCAAAATCCTTTCCGACGTCCTCCACCAGCCGCAGCAGCCACACGACGAACCGCCCTCACCCCAGCGACGTCATTCGAATTTTGAATTTCGAACCGGGACGGCGTGCCGATTTTTTTATTTTTTTAATGGGTCGCTGCGAAGATTTGAATTTTGCCGCCACTCAAAGCTGGACCACGGCCGTCCTAGCAGACAACCGCCCATGGACCACCGCCCCCACCCCAACCCATGGAGGGCGACTGGCGCCAGGCCCTCCGTAGGAATACTCCTCGGAACTTCCTGGAAGACCTTCCCGAGGATAAGTGGAACGATGGCGGGAAATCTCTTGGACGCCCTGAAGGAAAACTCCTCGGCCCCCGAGGACGGCCCAAGGAGTGTCTAACGAGCCCCTCAGTCTCATTTTGCACATTTGGAAAGTAGTGGAGCGAGGCCCCTTCTCTGCGGGAACCATTTCTCGATTTATGCATGTCATCCTTGCGCAGGGGCCATGCTAATCTTCTCTGTATCGTTCCAATTTTTTTTATTTATTTATTTATTTTGGAAAGCTTCCGAACCTTTTATTGCACAAATTTTGGGACGAGGCCGGGGACCTCACAATTCAACCCGGAGTTATCCTGGCAGTCTCAGCCAGTCCCAGCTCAAGGCTCTCCAAAAAGTCGTTAAAGCACAAGTAAAAGGGTGTGGCTCAGGGAACCTCGACTAAACAATATTCGAGCACAAAGGCTCCCTCAGCAACACTACTCTGAGCAATAAACCTGGCACTAATGTCCTGCAGAACCTAATACAAAGCCACTCGGGACCGGCTCCTATAGTACTATCGGGCCCCCCTACGCTAAGTACAACCGGAACCATTCCTCCTCCTCACCTCTCCCCCGAGCAACCATGGCGCTAAGTCCAATTTATCCTCCTGTGTGATCGTGGCCACCTTGTTACTTAACGCCCATGTTCTGCGAAACCAACTGCTGCCCTTGCCAATGGACAATGGGCATCTTTCCCAGTCTGATCGAATGGCCAGGCGAATATTTTGCCGTATTTGATGTTTCAGCTTGTTACCCACTATGTCCTCGTTGCGGAAGGCCTTAGCATTTCTCGCTGACCAGATGGCTTCCATTATCATGCCCCTGCATACCAGGGCTACTTAGCCCCACCCCACCGTGAGGCCTGTCATAGGGCCAGTTACACTGTGTAAGATCCATTCATCAGACCATTCTACTGTGTTCTGTTCCATATCCTTCCAAAGAGTCCTCCACCATTCCCATATCTGAGAGGCCTGCGGGCATTGCAACCAAAGATGCTGGGAGGTTTCAAGTTCCTGGCCACATCTGCTGCAGGTCTCGGAAATATCCATCCCTTTCCCTGACAACCAGGTCGCCACTGGAACCACTTGTAGGGCTTGCTGCCAAATCAGGCTGGCCTGTTTCTGCGACGCGAGCTTCTTGAGTGCCTTCCACAGCTTTTCCCATTGTGGCATTAAACCTGACTCCACTTGCCCCTTACAGAATCTCCTTGCTGCCTTTGCTATTGGAGGATCCGGAATCTGTGCCCTCTGTACTGCCACTCCCTGTGCCCTCTGTACTGCCACTCCCACCCTTGGCTTATAGTTAACAAGTGCAGTGTCATCCGCTAGGTGGGACCTGCACTTGTCCCAACCGTACATTAGGGGTTCCACTTTAAAGATACCTGCATCACCCAAAAGTGTGACCGACGGTACCTTCTTGGTGCCTTTCTGCTCAAGAACTCGTAGCTCAGTGAGCTCTTCCAGAATTGGCACCACCTTTTCACCTTCAAATCTCAGTGGACCTTGACCCCTCGTGTGAATGCTTTCGATCCAGACCTGAACTTCGTAATCTGCTGTTCCTTCCTCCTGGCCCTCCACTCTCCAGACTCTGGAACCGAAGGACTCTCTGCGGGAGCATGCACCTGATCGTTTCGTTTGAAAAGCAAATGAAAATCGTTTCGTATCCACAGTGGTGTGGCTATGGGCTTCGCTCCACTACTCTTCGACATGCACAAAAGACAAAAATCATGGCGGTGGATCTTTCCATGTTCTAGCGAAAGATTCAATCTTATTTTGCAAATTTCGAGAGTGGTGGAGCGAGGCCGTATGCCCTGACACATCAGCCGCCATGCACATCCGGGTTCGGGTCTCTGAACGCACACCTCTTTTCTTTAAAAAAAGAAAAAAAGGAACGCACACCTGAGGGAGGATGAATGTAGCCCGGATTCGGCGGAAGGGGCCTGTTGCAAGTACGCCCTCAGCCGCCACGGCGGTCCGGCGGAGTGCCCGCCCTTTCACCCGCCAATTTCGCAATCAAGCTCCGAGGAGAGGTGTGCGTWTCAGAAGATGGAGACTGCACTGCGCGAGCCCTACGTTTCAACAAGGCGGCAACATATATACACACACACATATATATATATATAGATGCTAGACGCTATTTTCCCCRTCAGCACCGTAGGATCAGCRAGTTCTGTCCTGTGGTTGACAGCGGAGTTGTCGTTGCGGGATTTTCTTCGCCTCCGCTGTGCACTTCTGCAGCTTCTTTGGCGTCGGGAGCTATCGCGGCAGTCCGCTGCGGATCCTTGGGCATCTTCTCTTCCGGTCGATTTTCAAGTTCGTGATCATGGCGGACGCAGCGAATGGTGCCTCCGATGGCGTTGAGGTTGTTCCCCATCATGAGACGTACGGGGACATCCATCCGCCGGTGAAGGCCAAGAATGTGGAGGAGCTCCACGCGCTGCAGAAGGCGGCAACGTCGGAGAAGGTCGTTCCTCCAGCGCAGTCGATCAGCAAGTCGATGGCGTCCATCTCCGACGGCAAAGCCGTCGGTCAACGGCCGCGCTCGTTGCTGAGCGACACCGACCTGAAGGTCGCTCACGTGCTGTACAACCTCTCTCCCGGGGAGCTGTACGAGGAGGCGATCAAGTACGAGCAGGGGTCGCACATCACGTCCACCGGCGCGTTGGCCACGCTCTCCGGAGCGAAGACGGGTCGTTCTCCAAAGGACAAGCGCGTGGTGAAGGAGGACGAGACGCAGGCCGATATCTGGTGGGGGGAGGGGTCGCCGAACATCGAGATGGACGAGGCGACGTTCCTGGTCAACCGGGAGAGGGCCGTTGACTATCTCAACTCGTTGGACAAGGTGTACGTGAACGACCAGTTCCTGAACTGGGACCCGCAGAACAGGATCAAGGTGCGCATCATCACGGCGCGCCCGTACCACTCGCTCTTCATGCACAACATGTGCATCCGGCCGAGCCCCGAGGAGCTGGAGGATTTCGAGCCGGAGTTCACGATCTACAACGCCGGGCGCTTCCCGTGCAACCGCTTCACGCACTACATGACGTCGTCCACCACCATCGACATCCACCTGAAGAGGCGGGAGATGGTCATCCTGGGCTCGCAGTACGCCGGCGAGATGAAGAAGGGCCTCTTCGGCCTGATGAACTACCTGATGCCGAAGAGGGGCATCCTCTCGCTGCACTCGGGCTGCAACATGTCCAAGGACGGGCAGGTGTCGCTCTTCTTCGGGCTGTCGGGGACGGGCAAGACGACTTTGTCGGCGGATCCGAACCGGTATCTCATCGGCGACGACGAGCACTGCTGGAGCGATAACGGGGTGTCCAACATCGAGGGGGGGTGCTACGCCAAGTGCATCGACCTGTCCAAGGAGAAGGAGCCGGAGATCTGGAACGCGATTCGCTTCGGCACCGTGCTGGAGAACGTCGTCTTCGACGAGCACACGCGGGTGGTGGACTTCACGGACAAGTCGGTGACCGAGAACACCCGGGCGTCCTATCCCATCGAGCACATCGACAATGCCAGGATTCCCTGCGTGGGCCCGCACGCGAGCAACGTCATCCTCTTAACATGCGACGCCTTCGGCGTGCTCCCGCCGGTGAGCAAGCTCACGCTGGCGCAGACCATGTACCACTTCATGAGCGGCTACACGGCGCTCGTGGCCGGCACGGAGGTGGGCGTCAAGGAGCCCAAGGCGACCTTCTCCGCCTGCTTCGGAGCCGCCTTCATCGTCTGGCATCCGGCCAAGTACGCGTCCATGCTGGCGGAGAAGATGCAGAAGCACGGCGCCACTGCGTGGCTGGTCAACACCGGCTGGGTGGCGGGGAGCTACGGCACGGGCTACAGGATGAAGCTGCCGCACACGCGCAAAATCATCGACGCCATTCACGACGGCTCGCTGCTCCAGGCCAAGTACGCGTCGACGGACGTGTTCAGTCTTGCCGTCCCTGATCATGTCGAGGGTGTGCCCGATGAGGTGCTGATGCCGCAAAACATGTGGCCGGACAAGGAGCTCTTCGACACGACGCTGAAGAAGGTCGGCGGGCTGTTCAAGGCCAATTTCAAGAAGTTTGAGGACTACACCGTCGGAGGGGACAAGAAGCTCACGGAGGAGATTCTTGCGGCCGGCCCTCAGCTGTGAGGGAGGGAGCGAAGGACCTGCTGCTGCTGGAACATCATCGGGCGGGCGGAAGGATTTTGTATCGTATATGCTCAGAAGTTAAATGGTTGTTTGTTTGTTTGTAATGAGCTGCTCGGTCAAAGCAGCAGATTAGTCCGTGATGGGATCTGTAGAGATACATGCAGAGAGAAAAAGTGAGCGGAGGGAGAAGTGTTGCCGGACAACCACCGGAGGAGTACCACCTAGTGCGTACTTGTTGGCTGAATAGTGAGGGGTCTGAGGACAAATGAACATTCTTTTTGGGTGAAAGCGTGGAATAACCAGCATCTTGTGCACGCACGCATGCTCGGCAACTAGGACCATTTTGCTGAATATCGAGGAGAAACGAACAAATATTATTTTCTGGTGATTGAGTGGAATAAGCAGCATCTTGCGCACGCACGCATGCACAGCAGCAAATGCCATTGCGAGCGTAATAATTGAGACGACCCGCCAATGATGTCCATGCCTGGCCGAGGTTTCGTTCTTGCATTTTCGTTTTGTAATGGTTTTGAGTTGTGTATCTGCAAACCTGAGATATATTTTACGGTGTAGAGGTTTTTTCTATTCAATTCTTTAACGAGGTCGGCCCAATTTGATCCGATGTTGTCCGTCCGATGTTGTCCGTTTTTGTCTCCAAAGCCCTGTTCGCGGGATTCGAGACTGCGTCGAAATAATTCATTCAGCGTGGTCGTGGATTTTCTGGTACTTGCAAACAATCCGTTTTTCACTCTTGTGTGTTTCGATTCTTGCGCAAAAAGTCATCGTATCATCGTTTTGTCTGAAGTTGTGTGAATTTAACCATTTTCTGGTTCCGGTTGCTTTGGGCCGTGTGGAACGAGGTTGCTTCTCGCATGCTAAGTTTCTGTATACATTAATCGTAAGAAATTCCTAAGAATCGATATCTCATTAAAAAAGCAAAAAAAAAAAWTGAAGTCTCTTCTCCTTTCTCTTTTCTATTCCGTACCTTGGCGACAAGTAGAAAAAAAAGAATCGAAAAAAACAAAACAATCGAAGTCTTTTTTTCTTTTCTCTTTTATATTCTGTGACCAAGGCGACATGTGTATGTTATTACACGTCCTGTCACGATATTGCCGAATGGCATCTGCGAGATGTATGTTGACGGCATCGAAAACAACACGATGGAAGTCTTTTTTTCTTTTCTCTTTTATATTCTGTGACCAAGGCGACATGTGTATGTTATTACACGTCCTGTMACGATATTGCCGAATGGCATCTGCGAGATGTATGTTGACGGCATCGAAAACAACACGATGGAAGTCTCTTTTTCTTTTCTCTTTTATATTCCGTGACCAAGGCGACATGTGTATGTTACTACGCGTCCTGTCACGATATTGCCGAATGGCATCTGCGAGACGTATTTTGATGGCATCAAATTTGATGGTGGTTTTGTCGATGTACGTTCCGATAGAGGCTATCGTGCTGAGAACTGGTATTTTCTGTGTTGTGAAGGGATAAACCAAAAAAAAAAAGTGTGGGTTCGGGTTGAATCAGAGGGCCGGGGTATCTATTGTCTTTTGCTGATGTGCTCTGATGGTAGAGTTAGATTTTTTGCTGATGTGTTATGCTGGTAGAAACGCGTTTTTTTATTGCAACGGTACTTTCAATTTATATCGTGGAAATACGCCCCAGTCCCAGCAATGTGTCTCGCTTCACTACTCTCGACATGCACAAAAGACATCACGGCGGTGTATCTTTCTATGTTCTAATGAAAGATTCACTCGTTTTGCACATTTCCAGGGTAGTGGAGAGAGGCCCAATGCGCCGTTTTCCTGCTGTAAATTTTTGCTGCGCTGGTGCCGTTCTCGGCAATRTCTGAAGATGCCCTATAACCCATGCCCATTCAGGTCTGCGGGACAAGGTCAGGGACGTTTACTGATAAGGGTGCGCGCCGCTTGGCTGGAGCCTGGAGGATGTTATTGCGGGACCAGATCAGGGACATTTCATTGATGGTGAACACGTTTTTAAAATGCGAACCAAAACGGAATTATCAGGTCTGTGGTCCCTGTGGAATAGCGGCGTTTTATGGAAGTTGCGGAGTATTGCATGCGCGTACTTCCAAGCTTTGTGAGAAAGTTTGTCGCTAACGACAGGGGCTGTATACGTATAATGAACTAAGAAGTTGACTCCGACGGAGATAATAATAGTTGAATGGAACCAATTCATGACGCCGAGTACAAAGCGAAAGGGGAGACACACACACACACACACAGAGAGAGAGAGAGAGAGAGAGAGAGAGAGAACACATCCGTTCAAAGCAAAGGGAAGATAGAGGGGGAGAGAGAGAGAGAACACCTCGTCACTGTTGTCAGTACAAAGCATAGGGGGTGGGGAGGGGGGGGGGAGAGATAGAGAGGTGAAACTTTCTGTGGATGATGCGTACATATCTGATGCGTGCATGAGAGGTTGAATGCGAAAGTCTCTGGGCGAATAAAATGCTAGACTTTCAGCGTGCTTGTCAGAAATTGGAAACGTTTGGGAAGATGTTGAGCGTGTCTGAGACAGTACTCTCTTGTAATATAGCGTGTTGGAGCTAAATTTAGGGATCTTGCGGTCGTGCAGTGGTGGGACGAGCATGAAAGTCATTGCCATCATAATTAAGCAGTCTGTATCAAGACGCAATTTGGGAATAATTGCACGTTTTACAACTCCAGCTACGGTGATCTTCCTATGGAATAATACGTACATTGTCTTGAAACCTGTTGATTACCTAAGTTGGAATCCGAGCCACTTTCAGTACGTGCATTCCATCGTATTCTGACCATGCATTTTGTCCACACCGCTGCTGGAGCGGTTTTGAAATTTGAAAGCCTGTCTGTTGATACATTATCTGTTCTTTGTTAGTATGTAAATTGAATCCTATTGAATCCTATTGAACCGTGTTGAAAGTGGAAACCTGTTTGAAATCCCACAGACCATGATGCATGTTTTGTCCAGACCGCCAATGTAGCCATAATAATCGTTATAGATCAAGGCGAAATTCAACGTCAAGTTCGTCACCTTTATTAAGTGGTGAAGGGTAATCATCGTTTTCAAAGCCATAATAATCCACTGGCTGAAAAATCGAGCATATTTGGGCCAACAGGAACAATAATAATCCTCTGCCCTTTGTAGACCCATTTGAGCTTCGATTCATCGGACAAGCTGAGAGAACGTGATCCGGCGTTTTTGGTCTTTATATCTGGGGTTAATTTCAAAAACATTGCTGTTTCGAAGTTTGGCAGCAAAATCTGTCGTCGGTTCGAAGTTTACTTTGCAAAAATAGAGGTTTCGTTGCAGCTTTATCGGGTTCCCGTAGTTTGCCACCAAAAATACCGCGTTTTGCCAAGTTTCACAGTAAAGGACCCCTAGGCCCCTGGCCTCGGGGACTCGGGGACTCAGCGTTCTGGCCTCAGGCACTCGAGCATTGTTTTTTTTTTTTTTTTTTTTTTTTTTTTTTCCCC